ATGATTGTTAATCGCCGTTTTTGACGCTCATTATCAGACGAGTTTATTAAAAAATATTTATCTAGCCAGCGCTTTCTGGAAAGCTTCTCCATCTCTTAAAAAACTGTATTCGGTATAACTTTTAAAATGGAACAAATCAACACATATTGGTACATTGCCAGCAACAGAAATGTGCCAAAGCCTCGACACGGAACTGCCAGATCCCCTAACTGCTGTCGAATTTTGTGGACACCTTTTGTATGTCTATTACAGTTCACCTGTTAACACATAATGTATGCTCAAAAATGGCCAGGATTTGTACCAATCATGAATTTTAACTTTCCCGTACTAGTACACTCGGCTTGCGTGAAGGTAATTCTTTACTAGGCCAACTTTCACCAACGCACGTCCGGCGGCCGGCCCGATGATGTGTGTACTCGGCATGGAGACCAACGGTGAGAACCATGTTGTGCGGTCGGGCCTACGTGCTTTATGTGAGCGTTTTCGAAACCAGTGGATTCGGTTAGAATATTGACAAGAATATAATATAAAATCAGTACTCAGGAAAAGTGATTGCCGAGCTTTCAGTAACTGAGTACCTTCTTCAGGGCAAGCAGATTCAGTTCTGAATGGATTCGGTTTGACTTCAGTTTCGTTGGTTCCAGTCAGAACATGTAGTTTCGATGTACATGTACGCGGCTCGGAATCTTGCACGCCGAATAGTTGCGCGCGCACACTGTACCGATTGCACAGTTGAACGGCTGAAAACAGTCCACAACAATGGCAAGAATTAACGTTATGTCCGACTTTATTTTCCCGTTGTTGTCTTTGGTGGTTATGTGTTGAATTTCTTAACCCACCAGACGTGGAGATAAGGACGCATAGGAGGTACAGACGTGATATTGGCTCCTTGGAAAAGGTAGAAATGTTGCAAAATTTAGTTACAAAATGTTTCGCCCGATTTAGCACCCTTTAATACCCTGGACTTCCTCCGTATCGTAGTACGGTCTGGGAGTCCACTTGGCATGCCTGGTCTAGGCGATTGTTGGTCAACTCGCCCCCTGGCCGACTCGCCCCTTACTACCTCGCCCCTTACCAACTCGCCCCCTAGCCAACTCGCCCCCTAAGTTATCCACTAAACCAATTCAAGCTCCATTGAAAATAGTGTAAAATTAACCAAGGTTGAAGCCCCATGACAAGCAACTGAAGTCCCTGAGGCCTTTCAAACAAAAACAATGTGCTGTTTGGTCCTTCAGATTTCATGTGATTTTCAATGGTTAGTAGGTTAACCAATGAATTTATTAATTATCCGCCCAAAACAAACTCACCCCCCAAAAAGTGAATGCTGCCAAGCCTTCCCAGTGGCATTTTTCAAATGACATCCCTCACCTTCCTCGGGCACTTCTGA